CCCTCCCATAGGTTTTCTATTACTGAAGACGTGTAATTTGCTGTGTCTTCGATCCTTTGTTAACCAAAGCCTGCTTCAAGCCCTTTCTGCTGCACCCGCTACTGACCTCCTTGTTGCTCCTTCAGGCAGGTACTGTTCCTCGAGAATGAGCTCCCTTCTGCTAGCTTTCTAGACACCTTCCAGATAACCCTGGCAAAAAGATGTGAAATTGTGATGTAGAAAGCAGGCTGAAATCCTCCCCGGTGCCTTGCCTCACCATGTGAACCCACACAATCACACTTCTTTTCTTTTGAACAATGCCTTGCCAGGCCTTTTGTAAACACCAACACACAAACGTCTTCCTGCCTTGGGCAGAGCACCTTGGATTAGATTACGGTATGGCTCACCCCTCTTCCATTTTCCCCTATGTTTTTTAGCACCATTTCCCTATAAGGTTAGCATGCTGATTGACTGACAGCACAGGAAGCTAGACGCTCCCCATGAAGAAAATGAGCTGACTGTACAGAATTTGGACATGCTCTTACGAAAACTTTATTACTAATAGTGTTTGTTCCCCTCCTGACCATATTCAGCAACATCTAGGACACATACCAGACTCTTCCACCCTGTTTCAGGAGGATAAAACAAAACTAAAGTTCTCAAAGCACCAGATGACCAGAGATCCCATACAAGAACCTGTTAGAGCAGAGTTACTGTCTACTTTTGTGGTACTTTATGAAGTTGATTAGAATTTGTATTTTTCTGTGTGCGTGCTTCAAGGAAAAGTCTTGAACGAGGGAAGGGAAAATCTCTTGCACAGCTGAATATGTTTTTAAGAAGATGCATGAGGGAATTGACACACATGAAAGTGAGAGCAATAAGAGACAAAAACAGATGGGCTGATGGAGTTGGCTAAGCAAAGAACTCAAGCACTTCGGGTTTTATATCTATTAGAAAGAACGGTGCTGAGATGCAAGTAAAAGTGGGTTTCATGCTGGATCTTGAAACTGATTGGGGCTTGGAGCACTGAAAAAGGCAATGGTGACAGACCATGGAAAAGACTAGTATCAGAGCTGGTGTACCTAGGAAGGCAAAGCAAGGAGATGCAAATACATGGACTTGCACAGTATTATACTTCTAATAATTCTAACTCTACTAACCGTTCTCTTGATTTTCCTAGTATTTTTGGGTTTTATGATCAATCACACTGACTGCTTGAAGAACCCTCCCCCTGGCAAATATAACTGCAGCAGTTCAAGATGCAGCCAGCTACATGTCCTGCCTCTCTGCTCAGGTTTTCCAATCTTATAGGAGTCAGCAAAGCTGGATGTGTGCTCCAGCCTTAGACCCGCCAGTGTGAATGGTATCAGACCAACTCACGTAGCACAGGACTTCCCTAAAATGTGGACTGTGAACTGCAGCAAGTTAAGTACGGACTCGTGTCTTTGCATGCCAGCCCCATAGCAGGGTGGAGCACACAGGGGCTATTTTAAATCAACTGAACTGGATTTGCAGGAGGACATTTGTCAGAATACCAAATCTCTGCAGGAGCCCTACACAACCAGTTGACCAAAACACCTTTACTGTTACTGTCATTTCCTCCTAAACATGAGCCTTACAATAAATTTCACACACCAGACCCTCAGCTAATGCAAATGACCAAGGTTCCATCACTCCCGGTGCAGCTGTCCCTATTTACTTCAGCTGAGGACTGGCCTTACATGTTTTTATTCCAGTTTATTTTTCATGATCTTCATTTGCTGTGTCTTCATCTGGTGTGTTTATGTGGCTGGTGCTTGGTTTTCATTATTTTTGACTGCATTTCAGATTATTTGCTCTATGATTTTGTTCACATTCTCCTTTTCCACGAAATTCTAATAAAACACTTGGCTACAGTGTTTCCAAATTGAATACTGATGTTTAGTGCAGCTAATTATGTAGCAGGGTTCAAAGCGAGTTCTGTAATGTAACAATTTACATATTCTTGAAAACAATGGACACAAACCTACAAATTATTGTTACAAGAGAGTTTCACATTCTTCTGGAATTTCCTTTAAAAATACATATGTTTAGTATTCTCACGCATATGAAAAGCAGTAAATACTCCATCGCTGGCACCATTATAATATTTACAATGAAAAAATAAAACACACTCTGATGTCTGTCAGACCTAAAGGACATTAAAAAAATGCTAGTACATTTCCTCCAAGGATCTCAAAGCACTTTACAAATTCAGCCACTCAACATCTATCAAGTAGTATGCCAATGATATACAAAGATCATTTTACAATGAAATATTCAGGATGGTTGCAACAACATTATACATTTAGTGTTTCAGCCTCACCAGTGTTCTGCCATAATCAGATTAACTATAATTTCATTAAGTACTGAATTAAGTAATATTTGTTTGTTTTCTAAACCAGCTGAAGTACAGACAGCAAACTCTGCCAGCAGACCAGGCTTCTCAGGAAGATCCAGACTAAACTGACTTTTAGAAAGGCTGCTATAAACCATAACTCTGTTTATAATAGTAATAGCTAATAACTCAGTATTTAGGCCTATTAATATGATCCTTTACAGATCCAGCCTGACTTGGAGAAAACAATCATTTTTCTTGCTGCTTGTATCTCCACCCCACCCTTTTTTATTTTGTATTCTTTTAATTTTAGAATACTACTTAAATGTTAATAAATATGAAGTAATCTGCACAGAAGTAGATTATCTGTCAATCTATCAATATATTGATGGGGCCCTTTCATTACTGTAATACAACAAACTTCAGACCATGTTATAACAAACCATCCCTAAATAAACAGCATTACTCAGAGTTACTGAGGGTGTGCTATAGTAAAATTAAACTGTAATTACACACATCCAGAATTCTAAGCACATGATTATTTTTGCTTCTTTGTGCATCTGTCTGCATAGGAGTTTATAGTTCATGGTACTATAACTCAGGAGGGAAACCAAAAGATGAGCCAACAGAAGCAAAGACTATCTTCTAAAAGCTGAACGCAACTGGGACAGTGGCTGAACTCATGTGGATTCAGTATTTCCAAATGTGACAAACATGGAAAAGTTGAATTGCTTTTCTACTCCCTTTGGCTTGTACTTTTCTATTTTTACTTATTACCACTGCATCAGTACTATTTGGTTAATAAACGGTGACAGTTCTATTATGTTAGTGTATAAACGTCTGCCTGTTTAAACTCTGTAGTTTCACAGTGGGTTTGACTTGTTTGTGTGCACACGCATAAAAATACTGGGGAGAAAAAGCCTATTTATTTTACTTGTTTAAATACAATAATTGTTTTATATTTTCCTAAAATGTTGCTAACTTCATCTTACGATTTCAACAATAAATCAATGAAATATTAAACGATTACAAGATTAATTTTACATATAAATTACAAATACATGTAAGGTGACAAGAGTAGCTACTGTACTAGAAACATTTCGTACAGACATGGTCAATATTGTAATTAATAGCGAAACACGACGTTTACCTCTAGTCGTAATAATTACCCAAGTAATCGAAACAGAGCTAGCTCTCACGCTGGCAGCGTTACAGGAGCGATCTCACCCCAGGAGGGCTCCTCCACCGCTGGCAATGGGCGCAGTGCCCTCTGCCGGGCTCTCCTCCCGCGCCGGGAGGGGCTCCCCCAGCCAGCAGCAGCAGCTAGGGTGGACAGTAAGGACAGCAAGTGCTGAGGCAACGCCAGGCAAGCCTCCCACGCGTGATCTACATGACCCATCCCCACGGCATTCCGTTCTCAGCTGGCTAATCCACCTTCTGCATATATGTAACGCAGTCCAATCTGCTTTGTATCATAAGCATCACAGGCGCTTCCAGTGCTTCTTTTTGAGCGTGTGTGAGCAATCTTGGATGACTCCCGTATTATCCAGTAATAATTCACTCATAATAAGTAATAATGAATTATTTTATAAAGAGCTATAATTATTTTTGCAATTGGATGCAAGTATCATGCAAAATTAATTAATTTTCTCACAGTCAGACAAGTAACAGAACCATAACAGGTTCTGCGATTACTTCCCTCCCTTCAAGCATTTCTGTCAAAGCAGTTTGACTCGGCAGCAAGGCCAACTCAGAGGACACAAATTTGTTTCTAGCAGTTCTGAAAGAAGGCAGACCTAGAAAAGCACGCAAGCTCAGGAAAAGGGAGTTAAATGCAAGACTTCTGGAAGAGTACCTGCGAAAGTACAGGGCAGGAGGGACTTGCTTACAAGAGTGATATACAAACTCGCTACTAAGTGATGTCAAACTAACACACTAAGTGATGCAGAGTGTTTAAACATCGCACCCTGGGAGGACAAGAGGACATAAAGACAACACGGTCCAATTTAGCTGTGAAGCAAGGTACTGTGTAACAGGAGCTGGATGTTTATAAAAGATGAAAACTGTTAGAATCATAGAATCATAGAATGGTTTGGGTTGGAAGGGACCTTAAAGATCATCTAGTTCCAACCCCCCTGCCATGGGCAGGGCCACCTTCCACTAGACCAGGTCACTCAAAGCCCCATCCAACCTGGCCTTGAACACTTCCA